TATCATAAAGGGGAAATTACAAACATATTTCACTTATAAATGAGGATGCAATATGATAAACAACATATTAACATGTTGAATTAAAAATTAATGTTTAAGTAATGTACTTTGGTCAAAATTAAATACAATTTATATGAGAATTAGTCACTATTTTCTTTCTTTCTTTTTTTTTCCTTGCCCACAACCCCTCCCTCCTTCTCTTTCTGGTCTCCCCTTCCACCATGCCCTACCGTGTCATTAATTGTCATTAATTGTCTTCATATCAAAGTTGAATATGTAGGATTCTTACTTCTCCATTCCTGTGATGCTTCACTAAGAATAATGTGTTCCACCTCCATCCAGGTTAGTACAAATGCTGTAAAATCTCCATTATTTTTGATGGCTAAATAATATTCCATGGTATACATATACCACAGCTTACCAATCCATTGCTGGGTTGAAGGACATTTAGACTGTTTCAACATTTTAGCGATTATAAATTGGGCTGCAATAAACAGCCTAGTACAAGTGTCTTTATAATAAAAAGTTTTTTTTTTTTCCTTCTGGATAAATGCCCAGTAATGGGATTGCAGGATCTACTGGGAGGTCTAGGTTGAGTTCTTTAAGGTTTTTCCATACTTCCTTCCAAAAAGGTTGTATTAGTTTGCTGTCCCACCAGCAGTGCAAGAGCCTTCCTTTCTCTCCACATCCGTGCCAGCATCTGCAGTTTTGAGATTTTGTGATATAGGTCATTCTCGCTGGGGTTAGATGATATCTCAGGGTGATTTTAATTTGTATTTCTCTAATAATTAAGGATGATGAGCATTTTTGCATTTCTCTAATAATTAAGGATGATGAGCATTTTTGCATTTCTCTAATAATTAAGGATGATGAGCATTTTTTCATATGCTTAGTAGCCATTCGTCTATCGGCTTTAGTGAAGATTCTATTCATGTCTCTTCCCCATTGATGTATGGGATTTTTTTTTTTTTTTTTTGTAGATTAATTGAAGTTCTGCATAGATCCTGGTTGTTAGACTTTTGTCTGATTCAAAATATGCAAATATCCTTTCCCATTGAGTAGTTTGTCTATTTGCTTTGGTTTATTTATAGTAGGTGTCCTCAAACTACGGCCCATGGGCCACATGCAGCCCACTTAGGACATTTATCCTGCCCGCCAGGTGTTTTTGCCGCTGCTGCCTGTCCTGCTCAGCAGCTGAGTCATCCCGGGGCTGCAGTCTGGCCCTCCTACGGTCTGAGGGACAGTGAACTGGGCCCCTGTTTAAAAAGTTTGAGGACCCCTGATTTATAGCATTTTAAATTATAATTTGTAGTTACTTAATTATGGATTTGTTCCCTGATTTTCTCTCTGTTTCTTCTACAAAGGCAAGGACTGCATTTGTCTTGTTTGTAATTTTTCTGTTTAGTGCCTAGCAAAGAATCTGGGCCATAGAAGGTATTAAATGAATACTTCTTGAATAAAGAAAAGAATGAGGTGTTAGCTGGCCTTGTCCTCCTTTGGGCCCATGTTATACATTCTTTGTGGCACACTTGCTCTTGAGTAGACAGAATGTGAGTTGGCTGTGACACTACAAGTTTATGTCTTTTGTGTCTGTTATCCTGGTTTATTTATTAACAGTAGTCTTCTTCACTTTCAGCAGAATCCTGGTATGGATAATTAATCATATGGTTCCATCAGTCACATAGTGTTTTGAATATTATTTACTTCTTTTTCTGTAAAGACCATATCCACAGTGACCCAATGTCTCATGGGTGTGGTGGTCTGGTTGGAGATACCTGAAGAGAACAAGTGACTGTGCCTATCTGTGGTCTGGAAGGCATTATGCTCCCCAGAGAGGGAAGTGAATATTTATTCATCATATACAGCCAAGATGAGAGATGATTGAAAGAAAGAATATGGTTGTGTATCTGGCCTCTGAGAAGATATGAAGGGATGATCTCAAGAAGACTTCTGTGTGAATAAAAGAAAAGACAAGATGAGTTGGGAAGGGAAAGGGAAATCATTATGACATGAACCATGTTAGCTATTAAACTTCTAAATATTTCTAAGACTTTATTCCTGTCTTTTAGGGGCCAATAATTTGTTTCAGGTAAAGACACATACATGCAGAAAAGGATAAATAAACCATGTGTACCATGTATAGAGAAAATGTGCTGTAGGATCTCAGAAGGTAGATTCAGAATATTTGATGGCCAGAGACTAAGGGGAAAGATGTTTGGCAAAGTAACTGGAGGTTAGAATGATAAGCCAACCTTGTCTGACTCAGGAGGTATGACTCGCGGAAAGTAGGAATGGAAAGAAAAGATACATGAGCCTGAGAGTATTTATTCATCACATGATTAACTCAGAAGCAAATTTAGTTCAAAAATATGAACGAATCTAAAGTAGTTAACTATTTGGGGAAATTCCTGATAGATACACTTTTGTAACAATTTAGAATTTAAATCTCAACATGTTCTCCCCAATTTTTAATCATGCAGTAAAGTAGAATATGTTAACTTGTATAAGTTTCTTATTCATTTTGACATGATGCTTTTATTTTATAGATTTGTGTTTGCAGGACAAGTTTTCAGAGACCGTTTATTTTTTCTTGAGGGCTTTAGCTAAAATTTGGCAAGTTGCCACTTGGTTAGTATTTCCCAAAGTGTCTTCATAGAACATGACACCTGTGGAATGTCACGGGTGTTAGGAGGAAAGGAGCTCATGGTCAAATTGCTTTAGGAAGTTCTGGAAGCAACAAAATAACAGGTTACCTTTTTTGCAATTCTCAGCAATTTTTATATGTTGATTTGTCTTGTAATTTTAAGAATAGGATGCAAGATTCAGAGTTTCTGGCACTTTTTTGTAAGGTAAGGACTTGTTTTAAAAGACAAAAGATAGAAGGCAGATACTGAGACAAAGTTCGGAGTGCAAAGGATTATGGGTGAGGAACCTATGACAGGAAAGGGGAGAAAGCAGGGGCACAGTGTCTTTGATTCCACATCCTTGCAAAGTGGACAAGAGAACAACTTGCCTTCAAGTTGTTCTTAAGCTCTGGTTGCAACTGGTCTTTCCAGGATTCTGTGGGGCTGGCTGCCTCAGGACGGTGTGGAACGTAATTTAACCAGTGGCTCCATGTTCGTGGATCCATTCCTGCACCTCCTTCACTGAGGAGTGGCTTCCTGGTCAGATTCTATGTTTTGCACTTGATTCTATGTCTGTGGAAGAGATACTCTATAAGCCCCAGGTGTGGATCTGTGGGCAGGAAAGGCAAACCTATAATTATAATAAATGTCGATTACTATGAAACTTACTGGCTCTCAAAGATGCCAGAGATCAACTGGAGTCAACCCATTACCATGTGACTGGTCAATGTGCTTGAGGAATAGTGATATACTGGAATTTCAACTTTAGTCTCTTCTGCAGGTAGGCTGGGCATTTGGAGGCATCAGTAGCTACGTTGGCCTTGGTCAGCGGGACTCCAAGCTGTTGGGTGTATTTGTAGCATTCATCTATCAACATGCTCATTTTTCAGGTGCTTATTGTGCCAGCACTGAGGTAGCTACTGACAAAGTTACTTGGCCAATTTGTTTGGTTTCCTTAGTTTAGTACATCCTATGTGGTGAATGCTTTGATGGGTCTTGAAGTACAACACAAATACCTACTCCTATATGCTGTTCTGTTTGCTTCTGCCCTAGACATCCTTGTCTTTAGTCTTTCTTTTCTCAGGCCAGGCCAGTGCCCTTTTAATCCATATATTTTCCAATCTCAGGCCACATATCTTCTACAGAAAGTGGATGACCAGGTACACTGAACAAAGCTTGGTTCATTGTAAAGATATTCTCTCCCCACTTGGCTTTCACTCCAGAATGAACCTGTAATGAAGATTCTCTCCTATTTATTACTTCACACACACACACACACACACACACACTGAGCAGACCAACCCTTAAATCAAGCTCAGCCTCTTCTTCTAGCTAGCTGATAGAATTAGATTTCCCATATCTCTTGAATATGAGCTTTGGGGAGAAGGGTGCTGGCACAGCCATGTTGGGTAATGTAAAGGGCAAGCTACCTATTCACACAGCTTGCTTGGGTCTACTGATCCTTCAAGCACCATTTTTATCTTATGAATGCTGCTATGCCCATCTGATTTTGTGACTGAGAAGGTCTGACCGGACCCAGATTATGATGGGAAGTTCTGGATGCATAAGTTATAATCCAATGGCCAAATGTTATATCACTACCTGAACACCCAATAACACTCCAAGAGGTGTTTCTCAAAAAGCACATGATTCTGTATTGTAGGTGGAAAGGCATACTACAGAATACCAAAAATCTGCATTAAGATTCTCTCACTAAGACTTGCAATATACTCCCATTATGTATTTTTTCACCATTGACCTTTAACACTGTTGGGTCTTCTGTATTCTATGGCTTTAGTGGCTTGTACCATGGCTTGATGGCTTGAACTTATGCAATGAACCTGAAAAGGTCTATAAGATATTTTATAGGGGAGGATATAAGATGAAGCAATTTGAATTTTACTTTGGAGGGGTTATCTGGACATGTTTCTGATCACTGGACTCCAAAATTTACAGGAGTAGTGGGTCATTGAAGCTTCCTAGGGCTTATCTTCTACTCTGTGATGTACACATTTATTATAAGGTCCACAACCACTTTTTTGCTCATCCTCCTCTACCAGAAGGATGTCATTGATGTATTAAGGGATCAATATGATATTTTGTGAGATATGCAAGTAGCTCAGATTTCTTTAGTGTAGGAAAATTAACAAAGTCCTTCAAAAAAAATGAATATAAATTAACATTTTTTTCCCTGTAAATGCTGTTTCTGATATTCTTTCTAGATTCGGATAGAAAAGGACACCTTTGCCAAATCAGTAGCCACATACAGTGTATTTGAGGCTGTGTTAATTACTCTAGTAATAACATCACATCTCCTAATGCAGCCTGTTTGAGCTTATGATAGTCTATGACCACTGTTTAGGATCCAACCAGTCACTTCAGGTCTAGATTAGAAAATTAAATGGATCCTTATGGAGGCCTGGTGTGCAATGGCTGCAAACATCAGCCTCATGGGTAGTGTATGGAGCCTGTTGTTTGTATGGATTGCTCTAAGGGACCTTGCAGACAGTCCTTTCCAATACATGTTCATGTGTTAGATCCTGTTCTGTCCTCACTCTAGGCTACAGACAGGTATGCACGGTGCCTGTGGAAAGCCCCAGGGCACTGTGGCCAGGGTTCACATTGGCAAACTCATCATGTCCATGCGCACCAACAACATGGAGCATGTGATTGAGGCCCTTCTCAGGGCCAAGTTCAATTTCCCTGGCTGCCAGAAGATTCACATCTCTAAGAAGTGGGGTTTTACTAAGTTTAATGCAAATGAATTGGAAAACATGATGGCTGAGAAATGGCTCATCCCAGATGGCTGTGGGGTCAAATACATCCCCAATTGTGGCTCCCTGGACAAGTGGTGGGCCCTGTACTCATGAAGACTTACACTGTGTTGCATAGCATTTGCACCTACCAATAATAAGTTCTACTTCCTCTCCATAAAAAAAAAGAGAATATTTTTCAATTTAATGGAAAAATGTTATAGACCACTACACCTGCAATCTTTTGATCTTCAAAAGTGGCACTTATCTCGTCTCCACCCCTGGGATATGATTTCCTTTATTTTTTATTTTTGATGCATAGAGCAGGAACAATTTTGGAGGCTCACTGTTGGGCTTCTCACTTAACACAGTTTTTACTCCATAGACCAAACACCCCATATGAGGGTTACTCTGAGTGCCAAATATATCATTTCTAATAATTTATTCAGGAGCCAGAGAAATGACTAATAGTCAGGTCCACAGACTCAGGGGGGCCCATTATAACCTCAATTGAAAAGGGCTTAAATTATTATCTGGTCCTTAACATCTCCTTGTTCTAATAATGGGGCACTGATGATGCTTCTGGTCTCAGGCTAACACTGTCAGCTCAGATCCCTTGTTCAGTAGTCCATGAAATGTCTAGGTATTTCTCTTTCCCCAGTGCATAGTCACCTGAGCAAAAGGCTGTAGAACCCTTTGGACAAGGACAGGAAGAACCATCACAGTACATACTGGCTATGGTGTTGCCTTTCTCTTTCTCCTGGAGACCTGACCAACTCTTTTTTTTTTTTTTTTTTGCAGTTTTTGGCCAGGGCTGGGTTTGAACCCATCACCTCTGGCATATGGGGTCAGTGCCCTACTCCTTTGAGCCACTGGCACTGCCCCTGACCAACTTTTAAATCAACAGTTTCCAGATCTGAAAACTGGTTCATGTTTGGGGAGTGATCAAGGGATTATGACATTTTAAGAAGGCAATGGCCCTTAGACATTTGCTCCTTTATTCTTGTGTACTTGCTTTTTAAATCAGTTTTCTTGGGGTTGAATTGAAATAAAATAAAAATCTATTTTAAGTGTTAAATGTGATAAATTTTGAAAGCATATTCCTATATCTTTCATCACAGGCATGATACAGAACATTTCTAACACTCTAAAATTTCTCTCATGCATTTGAAAGCCATCTATCCCCAGCTTCCCCCTCACTGTCTTGTTTCTTTTACTACAGTTTTACCTTTTAAAACTATAAATGGTATTGCATAGTATATAGTCTCAGGGGACCTACTTCTTTTACTAAGCATTCTTTTGATACTTACCCATATTGTAGCATATATTGGTAGATCCTTCTTTCTTGTTGCTGAGTAGTTCCCCATTGAATGAACTTTTCACAGTTATAATTATAAATGAATAAGCCTTAAATTTTCAAGTGAAGTCTTTGTGTAAAGTTGTACTTTTATTTCTCCTGGGGAAATACTTAGGATTATAATTCCTGGGCTGTATGGAATATATGTACCTAACTTTATACAAAATGTCCAAACTTGCTTTCTAAAATGATTGGACACATCAGCAGGATATGAGGGTTCCAGGTGCTCTCCATCATTTCCCAAATTTGGTTTTGTTAGTCTTTTAAATTTAACTATTTTCTTGTGTGTGGTGGTGGTGGTATCTCATTGTGGTTTTAATTTGGATGAGTGAAGCTGAGGATCTTTCATGCTTCTAAGCCATTTGTATATCTTCTTTGGTGAAGTGTCTATTTAATTGTTTTGCCTGTGTCTGGATAGGGTAGTTTCTGTTCTTATTATTGAATTGTAAGAGTTCTTTATATATTCTGCATACAAGAGATTTTAAACATCAGATGCATTTCTAAAACATCTATCAGGATTGACTTCATTTTCTGGATAACTAGCGAGGAGTAAAAGAGTAATTTTTGACAAAGGTCAGTTTATCAATTCGTTCTTTCATAGTTCATACTTGTGTCCTAAGAGATACTTGTCAAACTGAAGTTCTCAACAATTGTCTTCTATGTTTCCTTTTAGAAGTTTTCTAATTTTAGTTTTTATACTTAGTGTATGATCAGTTTTGAGTTAGCTTTTATTTATGGTGTGAGGTAGGGGTTGATATTACCTTTTATTTTTGCATTTGGATTACATGGTATTGATTACATGGTATTTTTTCCATAAGCAATTGATGTAAAATTTATGTTTATGTACCTCTGTCTCTGTTCTTTCTTCCTCTTTCTACCTACCTGCTTACCTACCCATCCATGCATTCATTTTGATTTGGCCATTTGTTATGTGCTTGCTACCTGGCTTTCTGGTGGTGGAGTACCCTCACCTGGCCTCTTTTCTTGTGCACCTTTCTTTTGTGCACCATCATCTCCACTGCTATCAAAGTGAAAAATTCTATTATGGTGTTTCCTTTCATTAAAGTTGGTCTGCAGAAGAGAGCCATTATGAAGTTCTTTCTAATAATGACACCTCTCTTATCATATATTCTTGCTGCCTTTGGTGAATAGAATGTTCTCTTGGCCTTCTTGTTACATAGAATCCTCTGATGGGTTTTCAGGCTTTACATAATACAGATGCCCAGTATACCCAACTTCCTAAGCTTTTTAATGCCTTTTAATACCCTCTACTATGGCAATTTAAGCATTTCAGCTTTGCTCAATATGAGTCATTGCTTTCTCCAGCCTTCTTGGAGCCATCCTAGCTGCAAATTGATACCATCTCCTAGGGTCCCTAACAGGGTTTTAAGCCTATATCCTGAGACAATGTCATTATGCCAATTAATGCTTAATAAATCTAGTCCTATGGTCCAGCCACCTTGATCAAACATTCCCCAAATCTAGCAGTAGGTACTATCTTGATCCTGCTGGGAAATGCTGGCTGATTGGGAAATGCTAGCTGATTGTTTCACATCTTTTTGGATATAGTTCTTTTTACTCTTTTATCAGGCTCAGTATGCCCCAGTGAATTTTGTTGCAACTTAACCCTATCTATTGGTGACCTGGCATAGAGGATATAAGGGTAGATCCTGAGTGAGGCCTCCTATTACTTTGCAGGGTAGGGACTTCTGAAGGTTGTTTTTACATGGGGGAGGTGCTAAGTCAGTCTTAATTAGGACAAGGGGATCTTTGCATGTTCTGAGCTTAAGAGTAACTGGGGAAACAAAATTTGGGCAGACATCTATCCAGATGTTACCATTTTATGGATCAGGGCCATAGGTGTTTCCAAAGAAGATCCTAATCTTGACATAGTGGACCTGCCTCATCTATTCAATTTTCTGTAAAACTGGAAGACTATTTCCACTAAATTCTAAGTTTTGTCTTTAGCTTTTCTTGCTCTCCCACTGCAGGAAAACAAGGAGTAATGATCTCCCCAGAAGACCCTATAGCCCTCACATTCAAAATTCAATTGTTTGTTAACTGCCATCAATTTTTATTAATCCCTTATAGGAGTCAATGTAATTTAATACCAACTAGTCACTTTGATTGACATCTATTCCTCCTCCCCCCTACATTTTTCAAATACCTGAATTGTAGCACACTGACCAGGGTACTCATTTTTACCCATTTCTGCAAGTTTTTGCCATTGGGCCAACACTTGAGGCAGGGACTACCTGTGGATGACGTCACATGGGATGAGTTCCTATTGGCAGCCAGGGAGTAAGTGATCCAGTTCCCAAATTCCATTTATTGCCTGCTTTTCAGTCTATTGCTTGTTTCACTATATCTGTAGGATTCTCTAAGGCACTAAGCCATAGGTAGGAGAAAACATTTTATGGGGAATTAATGCCTGTGAAAGGAAATGAGTTTGCCAGAAGGGAGAGAATAGGATCATGATGAAGATCTGACAAGTCTCTTAGCTCAATGAGGAATTGAGGCAAAGTATGTTTGTTTTAGAGAAGTCTCACGCTGAGTACTTGTATTAAGTGGCTGGACCCTTTACTATGATCTTCGTCTGCCACTGACTGGTGCCACTCTGAGAAGAGGATGACTTCAGCAGGAAAGATGAAGCATACCTTAGAGAGTTAACAGCTGCAGGCTGACAGCTACCTGTGCTCTTGGGTAGGGTTGGGTAAAGTGTTCCTTCTTGATAGAATATCTGAGTCACACATTTTCGTGTTTATCATATAGGGTGTCCTACTGGTCTGGTGTTATAGGGGACATACTTGCATCCCGAGTTTAACAGGATTCTATTAACTCTGCTATTTATAATGACAGTAAAACAGGTTAGAATGGATAAGCATAGTTATTGATTGACATTGCTATAACCCTACAGATATTTAAATAATTGTACAAATGTAAATACAACTCGATGCTTCATACTTCCACTAAACTTTTATTTTCTTACTCAAAATCTTATCTTAAATAACCTTTTCTAACTTTTCCCCCCACAGCTTTGGAACTTAATGGATCAAGAGCCCTAGATTTATTCATGACATTTATAAGATCCACTTCCCACTCCCCTCAAGTGACTGTTTTAAAATAGTGGTGATTTTTATTTGGTTTTGTCTTTTCCTCATTCAAGTACTGGAGTAATTCTCTTATTTTGGTATGGTACTTCTTTTCTTCTACTGTCTGATTTTGCAGAGAGAAATTAATAGTGCTAGGTAATGATTTTTGGTAATGTTTCATGGTATCTCACCAGGGACCCTCTGGAGGAGAGTGTAGGAAGAATTCTCTGCCACAGCAACTGGAAGCCTGCAGGGGGATCTCCTTCTGTCCATTCATTCTTTTAGATGACATTCCTAAACATTTTGATT